AGGAGGAGGAGGAGGAGGGAGGAGGGGGTGGGAAGAGGGGGGGATCACCACGCGGCCCCATGAGAGTCCCGCCAGCCCTCTGGGCGTGAAGCGTTAAGACGGCTTGCCGTGGCAAAACATGGCCCCTTAGGGGCCATGTTTTGCCACGGCAGCCGCGTTGCAGTTGACGATGGGACATCTTGGCGATCATCGGTGGAGGAGGAGGGGGAACGAGGAGGATGAGGAGGAGGAGGAGGAGGAGGAGGAGGAGAGGGAGGAGGAGACCACCAGCAATTATGGGAAGGGCCCGACGCAGACCCAAGAAGGCCCCGAGAGAGCCCCAAGATGAGACTGATGGGCCACATGGGGGGAAAGGGTAGCCTGGGGGCGCCTCGCCCTGCCTCGCATTCCCTTCCCCTTCCCCTTCCCTGCAGGTTGATGAGTTCGGCAACAGGCTGAAGGAGGTCGTCTGCCAGGGCGAGAGTTGCCTCGTCCTCAGCGGCATGCGCAGCAAGAAGCACAAGGAGGCGCTGAAGCTGTCCGTGACAGGCTCGGGAAGGGCTCGGCCCGTCGACGCCGCCGAGGCCCAGGCGGTCTTCGCACAGCCGCTCCAGCGCTGCTCGAGGTTCGAGCGGGCTGGCTTGGAGCTGGGCTCGGCCGAGGAGCGCCGCGGCAGGTCGCGCTCGAGGCGCCGCCGTGGCGGCGGGTCGCATCGGCGTCGCAGCAGCGGCCGCGAGCGCGCCTCGCCGCCGCCGCCGTCTCGCGCGGCGTCTCGCCGCTCGGGCCTGGGCCCGTCGGCCCCGCGGCTCGAGGCCCCGACTCCTCCGCGCGCTGGCTGCTCGCAGAACGTGAGCTCGCAGCAGTCGGAGGAGGAGGAGGAGGAGCAGGAGGGGGACGCGGCTGCTGCGAGCCTCTCGGAGGACGACCGCGTGGCCGACGCCGTCTCGGCCTTCAGCGGCCGCCGCTCGGCTCGCGGCAGCCGCGCGCGGTCGACCCAGTCGCCTGCCCACGCCATGGAGGTCGCCCACGCGGCGAAGATCGAGATCTGGGAGGCGAGGTTCGCCGAGCTGCCGAGCCACTTCGAGGAGACCGTGGACATGTGGAACGCCCAGGACTGGATCGCGGAGTACTTGGAGGAGGTCGTGCTGTCGGAGCAGGCCCCGCCGCCAACCAAATGTGGGGGGGGTGGAATGAAGGGCGATGATAAGGCCGTGTTCCGTTGAAACCGTTCCGAACCCATCCGAGGCTTCAAGAAGCCTCGGATGGGTTCGGGAAGGTTTCAGCGGAACGCAGCCTCGGATGGGTTCGACGGTTTCCAAAAGGCCTCGGATGTGTTCGAGGCGTTCTAAGAGGCATCGAGGCGCAGTGCATCGCGAACGCAGCCTCCTGTGGAGGCTGCGTTCGCGATCACTGCTGCATCGCTGCAGCCTCCGACCCAGCCCACTGGAAGTTGCCCCAGCGCGACGCGCGCTACTTTTGTTTGCAGCCCCTTCCATCCTCGGCCCCTCCCCTCATGCGCCGTTTCCCCGACGCCCCAAACCTTCGCGTCCTCCTCCAACCCCTTCGGCACCCCCGCCCCGCGCCCAGCGTGCCCCCCCCCCCATCGGGCCGCCGGCGGATCGCGCGGCCTCGAACGCGACGGCGAGCCTGAGGAGGAATGAGGCGGATGGCAACGAGGACGAGCAGGGGCAGAGGTGGGGGGAGGGGGCACGGCAGCTGGATTGAGGCAGCGAAGGAGGATGCGGGACGATGAGACAGACCAGGGGGGCGAGGTTTGGCCACGGCGGGGAGGGGGTGACTGCGTGGGCGATGCCCGACCGACGCAGAGAAATGGGAAGGATTGTTGGGCACTGGGGGCGCTCGGTGGCGCGGGCCGCTCGTCGCACCCCCAGGCGGACGGGGTGTGCATCATCGAGTGGCTGGAGACCCAGATCGCGGAGATTGGCAAGGAGGAGCCCTGCGCGGGAGTGTTGGCCAGGCGTAGGATGGTAATGGTTGGAGAGGGGTTGGTGGCTTATGAGGGGGACGTTGGGGGATGTGGCTTTCCTGGGGCCGCCTTGGGCCACTAAGAGGTTCCGAGAGAGCCCCAAACGGGCCTGAAGAGAGCTCCGAGAGGGCCCCGAGAGCCCTATTCGATCCCTCTCGGAAGGCCCGAAGGGGGCCCAAGACCAAGCGTGTGCAACATCCCGCTTGCGCGCGCTTGGTTTCAGGTCCCCTTGGGGCCCTCTTGGGTCTCTTGGGCTCCTCTTGGACCCCCATTGGGCGGGCTCGGTCGACGGCGACGTGCCCCTCCCTCTCCGCCCAGGAGCGCGTCGCTCGTCTGAACTTGCCCGACTGCTTGTCCAGGCTCAAGAAGGCCAAGGAGAATCTGGACAAGCTGCGTGAGCACACGCAGAAGTGGGACGAGGGCCTCGACTTCGGCCGGGAGAGGAGTGCGATCAGTCGGCGCGTGCAGGAGTGGAGGGAGGAGGTGAGGCGCTTCCGCCGCCACGAGACTGGCTTGCAGGCGCGCTCGGAGGGGGCGGAGGGAGGGCGGGGGTCGACAAGGGAGACGGGGGCGGCGGGCGTCTGAACTTGCCCGACTGCTTGTCCAGGCTCAAGAAGGCCAAGGAGAATCTGGACAAGCTGCGTGAGCACACGCAGAAGTGGGACGAGGGCCTCGACTTCGGCCAGGAGAGGAGTGCGATCAGTCGGCGCGTGCAGGAGTGGAGGGAGGAGGTGAGGCGCTTCCGCCGCCGCGAGACTGGCTTGCAGGCGCGCTCGGAGGGGGCGGAGGGAGGGCGGGGGTCGACAAGGGAGACGGGGGCGGCGGGCAGTGGAGGCGCTCCAAGGGGGGGCGGCGGCGAGGGGCGGCGTGGGAGTCGGCAGTTCCTCGAGGAAGGATGCAGACGAGGGGAGGGGGCAGAGGCGCGGGTGGACCGCGCGGTCATGCCCCCGTCGCCGCCGCCCGCCGCCCCCCCGCAGGGCCCCCCCTGCCTTCGCCCTGCACCGTGTCCCCCCGCCCCAAGTTGTAAACCTGCCCGAGGCTATCGTGGCCAAGAAGCGCCTGGAGAAGAGCGGGCTCTCGCGCGAGTGGAGGTTCGTGAGGGACAAGATCAGGTCGTACCTGATCGGCAAGAGGCTGCCAGACGCCGTGGCGATGATATCGGCGAACACCTTGAACGACTTGGGCATGCCATCGAACGAGTACGGATTGAAGATTGAGTACAATGTGGTTGCAGACCACCCTGCGGACAACATCAGCGTGAACACATTCCTGGAGCCGTTCATCATCAGGAAGCCGCAGGACGTGGATAAGGCCTCCAGGGACATCTTCCAGCAGACGTTCGCGAACATGTACGAGGAGCAGGACAAGCCCATGGCGGCCAAAATGACAGAGGTGAGAGACTACATGCGGAAGAATGACTTGGGATCGGCTTGGGGGACCCTGGACTACACGCCGAGTTTCTGCTTCAAGCTCGACGGCGAAGATGGCGATGTTTCGACTGAACCACTGGGCGGGCTCCGCATGGCCGTATATGGGCGCAGCACTGGGGAGTGGAAGACTGAAAAGACCACGCTGCCATGGTCTCAGTGCCCGATCTTCGTCCAGCAGTTCAGTGGTCTCTCGATGGTGGTGGTCGTAGATCCTGAGTGGGTCTCAAAAAATCTTGATTTCAACGGGCTGCTGGAGAACGCCGAGTCTGGGGCGCTCTACAAGCATCGGTCGTGCTTGCTCGAGGCGGGCAGCGCTGTGTACGTGCCGATGGGTTACGTGCCGTTCTTGATTCCCATCGCGGCCAGCATCGACTGGAAGAGCAAGAAGCCCAACCTCAAGGAGTCCAAGCGCGGCGCCGAGGTGAAGCACCTGGCCAGCTACGGCATCAGCTACTTCTTGGAGGACCGCGTCCGCGAGAAGTCGCCTGCGGGCGCTCTCGCAGCCGCGGCCGCCGCGTGGGTCGCGGCCAAGACGACGCAGCTCCCGAAGTCGTTCAAGGCCAACTCCGACATGGACGCCTGGTTCGACGCCTGCGGCCAGGGTGCAGCTCGCGGCGACATGGTCGACTAGGTGCCCCGTTCTCGCAACACGTTCCGTGCTTTTCGTTGGTCGGTCAGCGCGGCCATTCCCGCCAGAGTGGAATGACCGCGCGCTGGCCGACAAACGAAAAGCACGGAACGCCTGTCGAGCACAAGGTTGGCCCCCGCTGAACATGGGGGCGATTCTTTTGCTTGGGATGTGAGTACGTGTACTCGGAGTCCCGTGGGCCGCGCCGCCAGCGCGGCGAGGATTCGCATGGATGTTGGATCATCCAACTCTTGACTGTTGAAAAGGGTGGTCCCTCCCGACCGTGCTCGGGAGCGGGTGTTACCGGCGGGGCCCATCATATCTCCATCTGCCGTGCCGTGGACCGCACATTTTCGTCTTCTGGCCCCCCTCTTCCGCCAAAATCCCCCGCCCGAGGCCGCGCCAATCCCCTTCCCCTGCGGCGGCAAGCAAGGGGCGCGAAGAAACCGCTCGCAACGCACCTGAATCGCCCAGCCCACCGAGGCTGGACGATTCAGGGCAATCAACTTAAGGTAACTGCTGGTCGTCGTATCCCCACCTCCCCTTTTCCCTCATTGTGCCTGCCCACTCCTCGCTCGCCTCCTCCGTGGATCAGCCCAGCCCTCCCTGTCCCTGCTTGCCCCTCCTTCCCTGCCCCTGCCCACCCTTGTCCCCGCCCCGCGGAGCGAGCCGCTCTTCTCCACTTCCTCAGTGGGTCAGCCCGCCCTCGCCCCTCAAGGGATGGCCGAACCAATCAGGGACACCCGTCTCTCTCCTTCCCCCATCTTCGCCTCAAATGCCTTTCGCCTCCTCACCGTTGACGCCCTCTCCTCCTTCCAACGCGCCCTTCGGCTTCCCCTCCGCCCCCCTCGCGACCCCGCTTGCCTGCCTCTGTCGCTCCTCGGTCGCCCCGTCCTCCTCCCGCCCTCAGCCCTCCCAGCCAGGCCGCGTTGGCTCAAGGCTGCAGCTGCGCCCAGTTATGCGGGCGCGCGCCGAGATGGAGCTGGCGTTAAGAGCTAGTTGCTTCTCGTGCGCCTAATCCCGCGCGAGCCTCCTGGGCACGCGCGCGCGGTGGATATCGCGTGTTGGGCCCGTGATCCCTCGTCTGTTCGAGGTTGGGTAGGCGGGCCGCCCGAAGTACGACGTCAGGGTAAAGACGTCGGTTGGGCACTCGACTGCAATCGTGTTGTCGGAGTGGTGCGACGGCGCGTTCGCTTAGAGCGTGGCGGATCATGGACTTCTTGGTATGCCTGGATGCTTCCGTCTTGCGCGAGGGCGGGGGGTGTTTGTGCTCGCTTGCCAGTGCTCCTTGGGTTCGTGTCCTGTGCACTTTGGCCGCTGCGCGGGCCTGGTTAGCGCTTGTTTTTGTTTCGTGGTTGGGTGCGCACGGGAGATGCGTTCGCCCCCTTCGTTCTGTCATCGCGAGGCAGCTTGGTTGGGCGCGCTGGCCGCGCCATTTCGCTCTGCGTGCGCCCGCGTGCAGCCGAAAATCTGCAGAGTTGATGTGTCGGCGCGTCGGCAACAGTTGCAATT